AAAAAAAAGTTGTTCTCAAGACAAAAACAATAATCATGAATATGGAAACGGGTAAATGTTCAATTTGACAATATGTGCTTTCTCAATAATATAGTTATGGAATTGATCCTGAAAATTCTTGTCACAACTGAAATTAATTAAAAAAGAAATGATGAATATTATTAAACGAAATAAGGGTTCATTTTTGCAACATTCTAATGATTAATAATTGTTGATTCGGATGATTTAGGATACCCAATTCAGCTTTACTATCTAATCATTCAGTTTGACCCTATGACTGAAATTTACAGACATGCTTGGCTAATCCAAGCAAGGAATTATTAATCTCTTAAAAACAAATAATATAAAGCTCACCTTTTATTCAAGAAATTGACTTCTCGAATAAAAGCTCGATTATCACTATTCTCTATGGTTTCGCAATCAATCGGAAGTTACATATATGGTTATATTACGTCATCGTGGTACAAATTACTCAGCACACAGCATTTATCACGTGAAGATTTGAAAATAACATTTATGTGAAAAACCACATCGGTGATTGCGATTTTATTTATTTTCTCCCATAATTAATTATTACAATTATATAATTTGTCTATCCTCCTTTTTTTATACATAGACTTCCTACATAGAACTTTTTTACATAGACTTTTAAAAAAAATTTTTTTTTCTTTTTCTTTTTCTTCCTTAAAAAATGACTTACGTCACAAGACTATCCGTTAAAAATAATCTACGACAACGAAGGGAAATAAATAACAACAAAAACAAAAGGTATAATAATGATTATCGGAAGGAAAAGATAATTTCAGAATATGCATGAATATCTGCTTCAAATAATTTAAAAAAAAAAAACTCTTTTTTTTTATTTTTATAATTTACTATTTATGGAAATATTAGTGTCGAAAAAGGACGTTCCAATAATCAACAAAAAAGAAAGAGTCCATTAACACCACAAAAGCCAAAGTATGTTAAAGTGTACATTAATGATATTTTAGCTATTAAAATTGAGAAAGGTGAAGAATACGTTTTATTAGCTTATTCTGGTAATATACATTGATAAAATTATATTTGTTCACATTTATTAATATCGGGAGATATGAATCTTCAAAATTAACCTTTTGTTTTTCTTCCTCCAAGATTCGAACTTGGTTCCAGATTGGCAACCAATGCGTAATCTTAGAAATGCTAATGCTCTCGTCGAAAAGTTCAAAAATCGTCAATCTTTGAATAAGGTTGGTAAAATAATTGCTTTTCTTTTAAAAATTAATTATTGACATTCATTTTTCTTTTATTTCTGACATTTCGTTATATAATTTCTTTATATAAAATGTCATAGATAATAATCAACGTGAATGGTGGCGATTATACCGAATGTACTCACACCATTATACAATCGGATAAATTTTCCAATGATTCGAGTTCAAAGACAAGTGTAGATGATGACGACATTGAAATGAAATAGATCTTTGCATTAAAAAAGTATGTTCATATTTTTTGTTTTTTTTTTTATTGATAATCTTTTTTTAACAAATTATCGTGTTATTTTTTGTTTTTCGTTAATTTCTAGCAAGGTTTCTACAATTAAGAAATTTCTTTCCGGGTTCCTTTTTCTTTTCTTTTCTTTTACAACGTATATAGACATTTAAATGTATTAATTATATAGTTTTAACTGTAGATTAGTTGATCAAGAATGTAAAATGATCGAGTTAACCATAAGATGGATTAAAAATCAATCATTAATCCTTTTTTTTAAAAAAAATTTCTTTCAATATTAAGTTCTCTATTTCTTTAAAATTAAAAGATATAATTGATAACATCTATATTTGTCTCAATTAGAAATTTGCATGAATTACAATAGATCAATATTTAGAATTATTAAATTCACTCAAATAAATTGTTTTTCATTATTTCATCAGTATTTTTTTTCATCATCAGAAACTCAAGTCCTAAACGATTTTAAATCAAATAAAGAAATTTTGGGATTTGATATTTGATCATTTTTAATTGTAATATTAAATATTAATGCAATTTAATTACAAATATCACAATTAAATTACAAGATAACCGGTACAACATAAGAATTGAGGAGAACCATTAGGACAATTTTTCAAAAAAAAAAGAGTAAGTAGATTTTCATTCTTTTCTTAATAAGTGAATGCATGAATTGCTGATTTTAAATTTTTAATCGCATTATATGTGGATGTGGATGTCTATTTAGAAATCAAATAAACAGGTAAAAAATCCAAATATGCATATACATAAACATGAGGCAGAGTCAAATAAAAATGGAGTTAAATATAAAAAATATGGAAGTATAAAAGGTTCAATAAACTAAGGTTATTAAGATTTGAACAAATGAAAATATTATATATTAATTAGCTTAAAAGGTTTTCTTGTCCTTAGCCAGCCGAGTTATTTTGTTGATATTGAATGTTATTTTCATATGAATTTCACTTCAATCTATTTTTTTTAAAACTTGAAATACTTCGTAATCATCAATTTCAAAAGTATCTGAATCAAGTATTCTAACAGTATAATGTTTCAACGTACAGCTTTTTTTAAAGATATATAAATCTCCGAAACCGAATCCTATATTAATTGACTCATCATCAGAAATTGCATTGGAACTATCTTTAACTCTACTCAATAAAATTGATTTTAAATTCTTGTCAACTGAAAAAATGAAACTTTGATTCGTTACAAGAAATTTACTCGTTTTGCTCCATTTGATTGGATTGTATCCTCCAATTATTTTTTCAGAATCCCTTAATTTAATAACTACAATTGTAGCTCCCTTATTATCACATCTTGAAGAAAAATCTTCAGGTTTAAAACCATCGTTACTTCCACGTAAAAGCAATTTAAATTTATAATCGCTACTTTTAAGATCCATTAATGATGGTTCTTGTCCATCAATCCAATGTGAAATAAGACAAAAGTGTCTTGACGTAAAAATGGATGAATTGAAACTATTGCGAGGCGGAAGAACGTTTGTGACCGGTTTACATTCCGGAACAATATAATATAAATTGAGATCTTCTACAAGTTCTTTAGGAAGTAATTTACTGAAAGGACGAACTTTATAATAATATGCTTGAGGAGTCATTTGAAAAAATCGAACATGTTGAATAAATTTCTTCAGAGTTTTTGTCAATACATCATATTCATCTGAAGTCCAAGTTGTCATATCGTTATTAAGAATTGGATTCTTTGTTATACCCCATTTAATCAAATTCTCCCAAATTTCAATTTCTTCCATATTAAGATTATCAAGTTGAATGATAGAAATTAGAGCTTCTTCTTCTAATCCCCAAAATTCATTTGGATTAATAAATAACTTTGGTTCTTCACCAATGTTATCTTTACAATATTTTTCAAGCCTCGGAAAAATTCCTTTTTGACGTGAAATCATGTTAAATAGTTTAACTCCATTTTGTACAACCCAATCGTGATTTAAAGTAATAATGTGTTGTTGAAGATATTCAACAAGTTCTTGAAGAATAATTTCATCAGCTGCGACAAGTAATTCAATAAGATTATTTTCAATATTACTTGCGTCTAATGCAATTGTTCCAGTATAAATATATCTAACAAAAAAAAAAAAGAATGTTTGCATATAAATTTAAAGTAATTTCATCTTATATATATATATTTTTTTTCTAGGAACTTTTAAACTTACTTTAGTATAATTTGAAATACAAGTGGGGTCATGTTTGGTTTCTTCAAAATAAGAAAATCACCCTCTTTCTTTGCCCAATTTAAAGAAAAAGCAGAACGAAAATAAGACGACCTAGCACGCAAAATAACGGAATGTGCTTTAAAAATTTCCTTTTCAGGTTCTTGCCCAACTTCTATTTTTACATTATAGTCATCAGTTCCATCGTAAAGATTACTGATGTCCTTTAAAAGTGTATCAAACAAAATTTTAGACATTTTCAAAAAAAAAAAATAAAATAAAAAGTAAAGTAAAAAAGAGTTCAAATAATTAATTTGTGAAAATTATTACTTTAAAAATTTAATACGATTCTATTATGATCTATATTTGGAAATCCGACTTTTTTTGTGGAACATGAAAATCATTAAAATTTGGAAGTTTTCTGAAATTAACGTTCCAGTCCAAATGCTCGTAAAGTAAAATTAAATGGTTGGGTTTTTGCTATTAAATCCTGTTATGAATCTAAGTTCGTAACTTGATTTAATATCAAATGACCCATTTATAATTTCGCATAGTTATAAAATTTCTGGGCCTTCTGCGCCTCAAAATGCCGCTTGAAATTCTCCATTCATTATTTATGAAAAATAAAAGAAAAATATGGAAAAGTTAATCAAAAGGGTAACGTCCTGTCCGTCCAAATAATATAACCGACAATTCTTGTCCGAAAAAGCTCTTCCAAGAACAAACCCAATGCCCATAAACAAAAATAAATTAAATGGGCACAGATACATCTTTAATGATGATTTGAGCCAAATATAATTTCAGGCTTTCCTACTATTTTGAAGAACAATATAATGATGATTTTAAGAAAAACGGCCTTTCTATCCTAAACCAATGAGAACAAACAAAAATTTTGACATGGAGAAATTTATATTAAAGGCAAAGCTAGGGATTTTAAAACCCTGTCCGGTCCCAAAACTCCTAATCCAAAAGAAGACTAAGTACCATAGGACTTGAATTCTAGGACTGGATTATAAGACCAGGTCCTATAGAAATTGGGATTTACGGTCTTAAGACTGTGGTTCTATAAAGAAAGTTGGAACTAGCAGTTCTAGGACTGGCGGTCTTAATAACATGCAAAAATCGGTCTTTATAAACCATAATCGTTCAAGAAGTACGATGACGAATCGTTCAACTAAATCGTTTTAATTGAACGCTGATGTATCTATCGTTCAACTTGAAAATTTATATATCGTTCTTCTTGAACGATGATGTACCGTTCAAATAGAACGATGAAAGATCTTTTTTTTTGTATACGATCGATGGAGATCGTTTATCAAGAACGTTGATGTGCTGTTCAATTAAAACGATGAAGTTCGTTCAATAAGAACGATGTAGTATCGTTCAATTAAACGACGATTATATCATTCTTCTTCTAGAATTGTTTAAAAGTTTTAGCCGTCAGTCCCGCAAGTTCTAATTAGTATAGGACCGCGACTTTAATACCATTCAGAAATCATTGAATTCTTGGAGAAGGTTGGTCAAAGAATACAAGCCGAAGAATTCTTACAAAAGAATGGTCCCCAAATGTTCTGACTTAAATTCAATTGACAGAAATTCAAAATCCATCTCATAGAATCGATGAAGCAACATTGTGTGCCTTTTAATTTCATATTTTTACAAAATTCGATGCGATCGTCGTTAAAGGATTAGAATTTATTTTTTGTCCTTTTTTTTATTCACTAAAAAAAAAAAATTAGTAAGGAAATCGTAATCAACGGAATCTAATGTCTTCATATCGGCTGATTGGAAAAATTGGGACAATTAATATTTAAGCTCAACTGATGGGTATAGATGATGGGTTACTAGAACAAAAATATTAATAAAATTAAGGGATCTTTCCGATCTGCCGATATGTTTAAATTTTGATGTATTCCATGGACTTCACTAGAAAAAAAAGTCAATACTCTTTATAACGAACTGACGGTTCCAAAAAAAAGTTCGTTATATAAACTACTATGTTTTCATTATGAACTTTACACTTATATAACGAACTATTATTAAAATTTAAAAATTTTGAGTTCGTTATATCCAGTGTTCCTTTATAAAGAGGTTGGTTATTACCTAGTTTTGACTGTTATGTATAAGCATTATAAACATCATTATTAATTGATCGTTGTTATTTTCTTTAAAAGTTGAACTGTTGACTTTTGAAATTTGAATAACTGCTTTCAAGAAGTTATAATTTTTCAAAAGATCGAATAAATCATCGCATACATGTTCACGAATTACTCTATTAAATAACGCTTTAGATTTAAAACAAAATCAAGGACCAATACTTTGAAAAGAAATTTAAACAATAGCAAATGAAAATGTATTTAATAACGTTAATTATAGACTTTATTCCAAATAGAAATGGTTATTTTACCTTTATCGTTATCAAACAGCTTAACGATAAATTTTCTTAAAAATAGTTCATGTATGATTTTCTAAAATATCTGAAAATTTATTATATCCTTGATCTTGAAACTCTGAGGTAACATAGGGAGCATTTCCAACAGCAATCCTGAATGTGGTGTAAGGTTGCCGGGCAAAACCCGGAGGTTTCGAAATCGAAACCATCGAAACCCGTCGAAACCAAAGGTTTCAAAATGGGACTATGGTCCCGCAACCCTACTGTGATGAAAATATTTAAACTATATTATTATATAATGTAATGTAATTAATTTCATTTAAGTTTGAAAATTTCTTATGTTAGATTCTGCTCATTAATCTTTTCTTGAATGATTCCAAAATATTTGTTAACA